TATTTCCAACTCTGAAATTTCAGAATGCCCCTCCTCTCACAGAACCTTTGTAAACCCTTCCTAAACGTTCAAGACTTACTGCTCAAGGATTTTGGAAACAAATTTCATACCTGGGGAATGACAGTTATCTTGGTTCTTAGGTCATGGAGACCTAGTTGAGCAATATCCTGTCCATCAATTAGAATCACTCCTTCTGCAGCCTCCACCAATCGCAGCAATCCCACAGCAAGAGTAGATTTCCCAGCTCCTGTTCTTCCAGTTATGCCAATCTGTAAAGTGCAGTGGAAAGCCTTTGGTTTTGATGCTGATTGTTTTCCCACAGTTGGACAAACCTGTCATGTAGTTTCTCTTGGCCTTTTGAAGAGAGACAGCTTTGCATGGATCAGATTTTTAGGGCTGTTCAAGGTTCACATAGTCCAGCAATACATTCTTAGAGGGAATAATGTATAACTTGTAATTGTTTTGTATGAAAAGGAATCATGAAAGCCTCTGATGGGAACCATAATTACAAGGCAGCAGTTAGAACAGGGCCTTCATGTGGCACTAGAATTAAAAGTGAAATTGCTTTGCTGTAACTCTGCTAACCTGGTATGAAATTAAATTTTACTCAGAAGAATGACTGGTGTATGCAGCAAGCCTGGAAACACTCCTTTGTGTAGTGTGCAGTGTGAAAGACGGGCTCAGGCTTACCTGCAGCTTTCAGCTTCCAAGTTCCTGTAGCTTGTTGTGGGGCAGGAGCAGTACCCACCCAGCTCTGCTCACTGCCCAGCTCTGCTCACACTTGTCGTACAAGTGGCTTTTCTTACCTTCTCTTGCCCATGGATTGTTAGGCTGACATGTTTCAGTGCTAACTCCAGATCTGGCCTGTATCGCAAACTATAGTTTCTAAATTCAATCCTCCCTTCAGTGAGCCAAACTTGACCTTCAGGTTTGCCATTCAGAGTCCAAGGTGCCTAAACAGATGAAAACAAACAGCAACATATAAAGCTGATTTAAATTACCAATCAAGTGGCCATACTGGAATGGGAGGTTTATGAAGACCTCTGTGCCAAGTCCCCCCAGTCTGTTTACTGCTTCCAAAAGGCAAAAAGGCTTCTAACTTTCATACTGCAGATGTTGACTTTTTACTTTATGCAAAGATGCTGAGGCTCAACTGAAAATGGGATGAACATTTATTTGCATTGTCAGAGTTGTGACTTTATGAGTGGTTCAATAAAAAAAAGATTTATATGCCTCTGTAAACAGGACTCTGAAAGTGTCTCTCAGGGCAGCATATGGAGATGGAATTTTAATGATTACAGAACAAAAAATTATTGCACTGGAGACTTTGAGTGGCTAAAAGGCTATCTAGCAGCCATCAGTTATCAGAGATTGCATCTGAAGTCACACAATAAATACTCCAAATATGGGCAGAAAATATGTCTCATTCCATGAGTGTTACCAAGTGAAGCTATTTTAATGGCAATCCAGTGCTTAACTGTCTTAAGGAAATAATGATGATCAGAGGTTATAAAACAACTCTAGTCAGTTGGATAAAACCCAAATGCTGCAGTTCTTTAAAGGAAAAATGACTGGCTTTCAGAAGGGGAAAACTAGAGTTTTCTTCATGTGGAACAGAAAAATTACTTGTTTAGTTTGCAGAGATGTTCTACCCCTGCTAGTAAGGGCAGTAGTGGACCAGGTACCTCCTTGGGAGTGCCCAGGTATTCTCTGACTCTCTCCACAGAAACAATGTTGTTCTCTATGTCTGTCCAGGAGCGCACCATCCAGTTCAGAACACCAGTTATCTACCAAAACGAGAAAGAAGCATTAGGGCAGATAAAATAAGTCTTGACCTGTGCTTGTGAGTTACCCAGTTTATTTATAAAGACCTAATCATCATCTAATTACATCAGAAATTAAATTACATCAGAAAACCTTAAAATGCTTAAAAAATAACCATGGGTCCTTGTGAAAGTTTGTAAAGCTGTGTTAAAGAGCGTAGCCAGCTCCTCTCATAGCCCCTTCAGCAAGTTTATAGAGAATGAAATGCTGCTGACTTGGATGCTAAAAGATAGTGTAGCTGTTTCTTAGGCTATTGTGTAACTACTCTACAAGGAGGTAAGACAAATGCTGAAGACCTTGCTTCAGCTGCTCAGGGCTTGCTGCGACTTAAATATTAGTTCAGGTGCAGGAGAAGAAGATGCCTTGTGCATGTGTTTATGAGGTTTGTTCCCTAAGGGGCCATGTGCTCCAGATAATGTGGGTTTCAACAATGACAGCAGGATTTGGTAGGAAAGGGCATCTAGAAAGGCACAGAAATAGTTCGCAATTTCTTAGAAATCAAAATGCATTTACTTCTGATAAAAGGCAGGCATTTCAGCACTGGGTTACCTGAAGAGCATATGAAATGGAGAAGCCAGCAGTTCCTGGACTAAGATGTGTTCTGCCCATTGCTGCAAATAGTGCTGCAAACAACACGATGCCATTGCCTAGAAACTCCAGGTTTGTAGCAAGCCACCTACAAGAGGAGGAGAGTACAGGGCTGTTGCTGGTCCTTTCCCTTTCTCCCAGTGCAATGTGTGATTACTTTATAGAACACTTGTGGAACTGCTGGGAGTACAGAATACTCAACAAAGCTCTTGTCACACCCTGGTTCTCTTATCCAGCTACCTTGTAACTCCTTAAAGGCTACAGTCTGTCTGAACTGGTTGGCTTATGGTCTCTCCTAGGATTTTCCCCAAGGCCTGGTGGAAAGAGCAGCCAGCATATGGTTTCTTGGATGAGTTGGTCTAACATATCTCACTCTTTCTAGTACTCCTCATTCCTGTCATGACTGGTGGCTCATAGCTCTGTGGTCTGATGGGTTTTGCATGTACCATAGGCCTCGTGCACGCTGTAATGGGGTGATGGGCGTCACCAGGCACATGCTACAGCTTCCTGCATTTTGGGCACCAGGTGGTACCTTTGGCAGCATTGTTTCTGTGTGTGTCTGTGCCTGGCCACACAACAGAGCTGGGAGCATGTTGGTTGTGTGAGGGTGCAGTGCAGGAGATGACAGAGGCCACTCTACCCCTAAAACACTGCACCACTGCCTCATCTGTGAACCTCCACCCGAGCCCCAAGAGCACCGTCTCCACTCTGCTTTCCATGCAAGGAAACACTGCAGATTTGTTACCTGTCAGCAACAGCTCCAGGGAAGCATATTCGCTGATTCTCATCCACTAGAAAGTTGCTCTTCCAAATAAACCTCTCCTGGTCCTTGTAAGCACGGATCACACTGCTCCCTTGGAAAGTTTCTGAAATGTGGGAGTAGATGGGTGACCTGCTGGCAGCCTCCATACGCCTCAGCTGGCACGAGGTGATAACGTAGAAGTGCTGGCACAAGGGAAAATGGAAAGGGAAGTCATTAGAAGGTTTATGTCTCCATGGAGGTGCTCCACAGAAAATTTGGGAAGGCCTCAGCAAGTGCAATAGTACGTTCTATCCTAGTGTTATAAAACCTAGTGTGCAGGTAGGAGATGCCCTTAAAAGGTGAGGTAGCATTTCTACCTGTGTTATGTCCTGTCTTCATTAAGAATAACCTCATGGGTGGGGGAAAGGAGCCAGGGTGCTCTGAACTCAAAATAACCTCTAAACTCACACTCAGTTTCTCCTGTAGATGAACCCTTTGCTTGATGGAGAACAGAGGAGTTGCACCCTTACTTGCCCTTCCCTCATGTTCAGTCTTAGCTGGCAAAGCATTTGGGGTTTCAGAGCCCAATGGGAGAGCTGCATGGCATACATGGATATATTAAAAAGCAGTGTAGCAATTCTGGAGGAAAGGAAAAATGTTTTCTGGTCTTGATATGATTGAATTTACACTAATGGAGACAAGGAATGTAGCTCTAAGTAGGATTTGACATCAGAAAAGCACAAGCCTCTTTGTGAGGGCTCTGGAAAGCTTTGGAAGGTGGAGGTGATGTGGGAAGAGCCACTGACGTTACTCTTGTTCAGATGCAATTTAAAATGATGAAACTAGTTTCTGCATGTCTCTGCTCCTAAGAAATGGAGGGAGGATTTCTGCAGGGACATGGCCATACTGCTCCAGCCTCTCCTGTCTGTACCTCTGTGAGCTCCTACCTGGAATGCAGCATAAAGAACAGTCAAGGGCACTATGGCCATCGCTGCCCATGGTGTAGCCACTATAATCACAAGGTAGATCTCCAGTAAGTTGAACAAGAATCCCAGGAAGGACTTCAGCTTGTCAGGGATGACAGAATCAATAGCATCCATTTCTCTGGAGAAGCGGTTCAGCAAGTTTCCAATGGGTGTTTGCTCAAAGAAGACCATTGGGGATCTAGTGACATTGCTCAGCAGCTGCAGAAAGAGCTGATGGGAGGCTAACACGCCACCCAGCAGGACTGCTGCTGTGGAGGTAAACCTGCTGAGGGCTGTAAGAGAAAAGAAATTATTGTTACAAGGAATGAACAATCCACCTTAGAGTTCTCCTTTGCGAGATCATGATCTCCACTTAGTACTGTGAACATTGCACCAGTGAAAGGAGCTGATTTTCTCTTTAGTAGGAATTACCTGCAGCTCTGAGGCTTGGCTTAAGCTGCCCTTTCTGTAGGGTAGTTGCAGGGCAGCCAAAGACCTTCTAAGCAAGCTTGATGGATTCAGCAACTTAAACGTGCAACACAAATTATTTATTCCTCACAAAGTGAGCTTGACTGGAATTACTTTAAATTTCTCAGTGATATTTTTTCTTTTTATTTTTAAAGAGAATGACCAAAGGAATTGTGGCCATTTTTAAGGAGAAAGATATAAAGAAATGTAGAACTCCAGAAGTTCCTCTTTTTCTCCCTCTTTACATGCAAAAGACCTAAGCCAAGATTTAGTTCAGCATGGAGAAGAGCAACTAGTTGCACTTTGATATGATTAATTTATGTTGTAGGAATGAGAAGAGATAAGAGGAAGAAAGATATGCAGATGATGTTGGATATAAGGAGGCAGGATAGAAAAATAAGGATGTTGTAGTTATTTCATTGCTGCATGTTTTTTAGGGGCTCAGGTCATTTAGTTCTAGCAAGAAATACAGAGGAAGACACTGTTCTTCATGGTCTGCTGAAAGGCACAGAAGACCTCTAGCATACCATGAAGTAGAATTTCAGGCAGTAACACTGAAAATATTGTTCAGATCCCTTAGAAATCCTCTCTGTGCGTCAGAACCTGTAGTTTTAGGTCCCGTGCCAAACCTTTAGGGTTGGTGCCAGAAGCCCAGAAGGCTGAAAACCCGTGGGTATGCACTTGTTTATATTCTGAGAAAACATCCTGGATATGGGGAAGGGAGATGGGAATACAGAGAAGAATTAGGTGAGCAACTTAAACAGACCTTGAACTACTCCTAATGCACCAAAGACTCCAACTCTCAGCTCCGTGCGCTGTCGTGTCCCGTTGTGAACAGGGTCATCTGCCCACATGCTGAGCCAGTAACCCCGAGAGAACGACACAGCTTGCTGGCAGGTGAAGGACAGGAGGATGAACACACACAGGGCTGAGCCTGTCGCCTTCAGGTAGGCTGCATAAACCCCAGTATTGACCTAGAGTGAGGTACAATTGGGGAAAGACAGGAGGAGAGGTTGGGAGGATCAAGCTTGTTAGCAAGCAAAAGCAGCTCTGAAATAAAGAATGATTTATTATGGCATATCTACTCAGTTATATGTCACAGCCATAGCAACCATGTTAATCCTTTTTTTGTTTTCTTCATGGATGAATAGTGAAGCCATACTTAAATAAATCCATGGTGCTAATGATTATTTTCAAGTGATGGATGTTATTGCAATAGGCTTGTGCTACTTCTGGAATGCAGAGAGTGGGCTTTCCTTGTGTTGGGCAGTGTGTTCTGTGAGTGAGGGAGAACTGTCATGTATCACACTGACTGCTTGTATGAGTAACTGCTGATCAGGAGAGGTGAGGACATCCCAGTCTGCCTAATGCTGTGCTTCCCTAGAGGAAAAGCTGCCTCTTTTGGAGTGTCTGTCTTCTTAGTCTCATCTGCTCTCAGTACCACTAGCCTCAGCTATTTTTTTCCTCTCCACATTTTACTACTGCCACAATGTGCCCTGAACACACCCCTCATCCATGTGTGATTCTTCCTAACTGGAATACCATGTCTGCTTCTTTCCTTTCACAGTACCCTCCTTGCCTCAGCCTTTTGAGGTGTTTCTTAGCTTAGGCAGGGAGCTGACCAGCCTGCCATGAGTGTGATAACCCCATGGGATGTGTCCTTGCCATTACAGGAAGGTGCTGTGCTTACCCTGCCATGCTGAGTTTTCTCTCCCTTAGTTAATCTTCCTTTGGTGGCTGCAGCACTGGTACAGTCTTGACTTACAGGAATGGTCTCCCTTCTCACAGCAGATGATTTGACTGAATTGCCACTTCATTAAGAAAACAAAATTCCTTTCAATTTTTAGCCAAGCTGGTTCTCTTTACCCACCCCTATATTCATGCCTGTTTTGAGGGCTGCAGTTTTTGGAGTCCTCCAGAGTGACCCCAATCATTGTCCATGTTTGTCACAGGGCCTGGGCTCTGTCAAGCCATTAACAAGCAAAGGCTTAAAGCATTCACTCGCTCTGGCTGGTTTGGAGTGAGCCTGACCTTACAGCCCCACTGGGAACTGAACAGCAAACAAGTGTATCACATACAAGTGCCTTGTATGTCAGCTCTGTTCTGGTCCTTGTGAAATATGGAGAAAGTGTTAGTTGACCTCCACATTGAAGACCAGGTTCTTACCAGCTCTTGAGTTTTGCTTGTGTGCTCTTGTTATTAATTTACAGATCGACTCCAAACCTTTATTATACTCAGTAAGAGCCTCCAAGTAGGCTTGTATGGGCTTTTGGAATAAGTTCTTCAGTGTCTGAGACTGCTTTAAGCTTACCTAGAGAGTTTCTCCTGAGATGGACCATTTCTAGATGTGATGGTGCCTTTGGTGTCTCCTATAGCTGTGAAATAAATACATTTTTTTCTAAATGCTTTAGAATCTCAGTTTGTCCTGCATAGTCCTTGAAAGCTTGGTAACATGGAGGAAAGATTTCGAAGGGTAGAAATATCAAGGTTAGACTTGAAAAACAGTACATATAGTGGGTAATTCTGTTTACTGCATGAGTGTTGTCTACTCAGATGGATTCAAGGACCAGTTCGGAGGTGATGAGTCAGCTAATTTGACCGGCATATTTCCATAATAAAACAAATGTGATATTAAGGAAACAATTGACTGATAGACCTAGGAAGAATGATTCCAACTCATTTGGGTTACCTGGAAAACCAGCACATGCTTTCTCTTCTGCAGTACCATGTGAATGAAGAAATTCTGCAAAGGCCCCATTTCTCTGTAGAAGTTCTTGGTAGGAACCAGTTTCTGAGATCATTCCATCCACCAGAAAAACAATGTTGTCCACTTGAGGCAAAATGTTGATTGTGTGAGTCACCAGCACACGAGTCTGCTTGAATCAAGAGGGAACAGTTACATGTTTTCTGCTGTTTCCCTGCTAACTCGAGCTGTTGCACTCAGCTGGCTTCTGAAGACACACACGTAATCAGTGCAAGCTATGATTTTTACTAACTTGGAGATATTTTTGTTATTTATTCCTATCACTTCTGCCTCTCTGAGGAAGTCTATCTTTGCAGCACAGCTTTATACAGAACTTGGAAGTGGAGGGGTGAATCAACTCGCTTTGTGTCGTGCACAGCGTTAAGAGTGAGGATGGGAACTGAAGCCTGAAGTCCCAGGCTGGCACCCTGTGTGCTGGAGGACCTTTTACTTGACTCACTGACCAATTCCATGTTATTGATTCCCCTCTGGTTGAAGGTCTTAAGTAGGAAGATGTTAATTGCAGAGTATGCCACATTTATTGCCACTGATATCAGTATTTCAGAATCAAATTCATGGCTGAAAAATTGATCAGCCCGAAGGGAATGAAAGTGGAGCTCCTTTCCATTTACATTTCTGAGTGTATTTGCTGTAGGAGAGGACATAAGAAAAGTAATTTCCCCTTACATAAGTTGGCATGTTCTATATTTCTAATATAAAATCAAGCCCCTTGAGTACTCCTTAAGTTTGATACATTCTTCTTAGCCAGTCATTCTGTTTCAATACAATAATTATATTCTGATACTTGCAACCAATCCTCATGAAGACAAAGGTATTTATAGTCAGGCATGTCTGTTATAACTGGACTTTCTAATGCAAGAGATTACCTGTGTTCCTTCTATCATGTGAAACTGAACCAAGTATTTCTAGGCAATTTATACCATGAATTAAATAGAGCTGCTCTAGCATCCCTTCTCATGTATCTACATCTATTATCCAGATTAACTGACAGCAGAGAAATACCAAGGAATAACAAAACACCACCACTGCAAAAGGAATGGAAGAGAAGTGTTTAAGGTGGATTTTAAGACTGAAGTTTAAGTGATAAGAACTGTAAAGGTGCCACTGAACTATTCAAAAGTGATGGGATTAGTTGTTATGATGATACAATTTGCTAGAAGAGATCAGACAGCTCTTCCTAACTATGCTAGAAGCAGTTCTCAAAAAGAGAGGAGGATAATGTTGACAGAAGACCAAAGAACAGTAAAGTTGCTGTAGAAGTAAGGCTGGAACTAGGCATGTGGTTTGCATGAGGATAAAGACAGTCTTACTCTTCCTTGGTGAGGTTCCCTGCAGGACTTGCAGGTGCTGTGTGGCCTGAAGGGGTTACCCATTCCACTGCTGCCACTACCAAAAAAGAGTCTGGGAGCCTTTGATAAAGTGAGTAACCCACCTTACTGGAAACATTTCAGGGGCTCTGCTAATGAGATTCGTTGTGCAATTGTTTAGAGTTCAGGATTTATAACACAAACCTTGTCCTTCAGTAAACCACTGGGTCCAAGAACGTGTTCAAAAATGTGCTGTCCGACGTGAGCATCAACAGCTGAGAGGGGGTCATCGAGCAGGTAAATCGAAGCCTTCTGGTACACGGCACGAGCAAGGTTCACTCTTTGCTTCTGCCCTCCAGAAAGATTTATTCCCTGTAAAAATGTATTGACTCTGTTTATTCCACAGCTACAGCATATTTGTCAGCTGTTGACTCCATTTTGTGCTGAGGTTTTATGACTCCCTTATTTTTAAACCAGTGCATCTCCATCCCTCCAAATAGGGCTCTTGCAGAGGCAGAGTCTTCTGAGCAACTCCACTCTCCTGTAAAAGAGCATCCCAGAATGGCCTGGATTTGTTGATTTTTGTCTTTAACAACTCTCATGTCTCTGGTGAGGTTAACTGTCAGGAGGTGGGCTTAAATTAAATTAGATCATGGCCCAACTTTCCAGAAATCACTGAGCACCTGCCTCCTGCAAGTTTAATTTCTTTGTAGGTGTTTTAAGCAGGACACCTGAAGTTGTAGCTACTCAAAGAAAAGTTGGCCAAAATATAAACCTAAGTATAAGTACCTTTTCTCCTATTTCACTCTTCTGCCCTGCAGGGAAGCTCTCCAAATCAGGGTGCAGTGCACAGGCATGTATCACTCTATTGAACCATGTTTCATCCATCTCTTTCCCGAAAAGAATATTATCTTCCACTGTAGCATTTAGTACCCAAGCTTGCTGGGGGACATAAGCTGCAGTGTCCTATAGAAGTGGAACAATGTTAGTAATCTTTTCCATAAGCTCAACTTGACACTGTGGGAACCCATCTTTGCAGAAAAGCTCTCTGAGTTAATAGAAGTCTGGAATGATCATCACCATTGATAGGTCTCAGAGGGCTTTGCAAACTATGAGTCTGCACTGTTGTTATCTGACAGAGGAGGACACAGAGGTGCAAGTACATGATGAGATTTACCAGGATGACATTTCAACTCACTGTCAGAGTGGGAAATAGAACTGGATCTTTGAAGCAATGTTTCAGCTCCTATTTCCAAAGTCTTCAGCACCTTCAGATAATTAAATGTGGACTGATACATACAGCCTTTGTTAAAATTCAGCAGTAAATAAATGCATTGTCATCAAGTACCTGATGCCTTGGTTAATACCTTACAGTTCCTGAAAACAGCCTAATTAGAAGCAAATGCTCAGGGAAAAATTTACCTTCATGGTCACTGAGCCGTCCAGTTTCTCCAGCTCACCGAGTAATGCTGACAGCAAGGAGGACTTCCCAGCACCCACCTGGCCAACTACAGCAAGCAAAGAGCCTTGGGGCACGGTAAGATCTATCCTGTGGAGAAAAGATTAGTTTCTTATCATGTTTTAGGTACACTTTTTGAAGAGGAAATTATTAAAATTCTTGCTATTGTCTTGTAGCAATAAAAAGGTACCCAAGTAAACCACCCTAATTTCATCCCTTCAAAGACACCTCCAACCAGAAAGGCTGATCCACATCCCCCTCTGAGTTTCAAACCCAGATCCAAGACCCAGATCCCCACTCTGGAGATAAGCTAGCCCAAAGCATTGGATATAAAAAATTCCTGAACATCAGTGCTGTTCAACATGGTTTCTTCTCAAAAATGTCAATGCCTGTTGAAATAAGCATCTAGTGATGCCATATATAATACCTGCATACCATCTGTTCTACTTTTTTGACTTAAATTACTGTAATTTCATATTTGAACAAGAAAATTGTATAAAGAAAACAGCCTCCATAGATTAAGGCAACATTCAGATACAGGCACCTTCCCATTTATCTGCTCCCAAACAGAAGACCAAGATTATGTTTTGTCTGACTTTGTAATATTCAGAATTCAACATTAAATATGAAGTGAACTCAGAAGCTTCTGGACATTCCACACCTGCCCTACAGAGTTGAGAGATGACTAAGAGTAAGTCTGTACCTTCTAAGACAAGGAGAAGTTTCTTTGCTCCAGCAAAAAGTCCCATTTCTTATGGTGATACTTGCCTGTGCTAAAATATGAAGAGAAATACAATACCTGTAAATGCAAAAGGTGCTACAGAAACATCCCTATTTATATGATTTTATGTTTCAGTGTGTATATTACATAAAATGAACCATAAGTATGAAAAAAGACATACATTACCAGATTAGATTTTATTGGTAGAAATAAATAGGCCTGAGAGATAAAGTGACAGTAAGGGGCAAATATTTTTCTGTTGACTATGGTAAGCACCCTGAGTAGAAGCTGAACAATAGAAGTTACTCCTCTTTTAAGGTAACAGTGCTAACATAAAAGCTCACCACAGCCAGAAGTGCTTCTGCATGAGCTCTCAGGATTCAGTTGTCCCAGATTCAGAAAAGCTGCCAAGCGGTTTAAAGAAACTTTGGCCTGAAATGAAGCAGCACACAAAAGAAAACAGGATTTAGAGTAGAAAGGGAGCAAAACCCCAAAGACTCAACATGAAGAACACTTAGATCATCTGCTATGTTGCAGGTGTTGTAGGCTTAGCTGGCCAAATGCAGCTCTTCCTTATGTTAACTGCCTTTATTTCCACTTAGCTTAGCAAAAAGCCTTCATGGTGCTTTTGGTTCAGTGAAATTGGTGCTTTTTTCTCCAATTCATCCTGCAATTTCCCAGTGATTGCTTCTGTACACGAAAAGCTGTGACAGCCTTAAAATGTAAGAGGGAAATTAATTTCCCTATATCTTACTGGGCAATGATTTGCTTTTCTCTCTGGCCTGGGCTAGCAGGGTTTCCACTGATCCCCTATGGAGATTTTGCTCTATTTGTTCTGATTTGTGCAATTAAAAAAAGGACCGGAAGCACCTCTGGGGTCTTTTGGTGCTTGTGATGAGCTCCAAAAGACTTATGAGTAATTCTTGTTGACTATTTTGTTAGTGAAAGGAGTCTTACAGAAAAACAATACAACAAAGTATGTTTACTTGCAAGTGCTTGCATTTCACTGTTTCAGAAAAGCAATTAAATGGCTGATGTGCAAAGCCCTAAGGAATCTCTCTGTTTACCTGTTAATGGTGATATGTAAAAAAACCCCTTATGGCCAAAGGAAAAGGAACACAGCCTGCAATTAACCTGGACAGCAGCGTTGATGGAGAAGGGCAGGAAGGAGTGTGCAGTGTTGAGGATGTTGATCAGTGTTAAAGACACAAAGGCCTTCTGAGCATCCAGGATGTGTGTGTTATCCACCAGGGTGTAGACAGCAAACATGACAAATGCAATCTGAAAGGGAGCAAAGGGAAAGCAAACCATTTGCTTCAGACAGGGAAGAGAACGGTTCGGGGGTGCCAGGCCCCTTCCTAAAGACTCTGGAACCCGTTTAGTTAAATCCAGGCTACCACCTCTGTGCACAGTACCCATTCTGCAGGGATCACGGCCAAAGGTCTTGCATATTGGTGACAGTATCAAGTTGATCATTTGACATTTGTTCTGCATTAAGGAAGTTTTTGTTCTGCAGCCTCAGCAAGGTGAAAGCACAGCAGGTTCCCACCGAAAACACACATAGCTGAGCTGCAACAGCAAGTGCAAATGTGGCTTGTGCCATGAACTCTGTCTGGCTTGGAGGTCTCCCGGTGGATCCTGCAAAGCAGGCTCGGGCTGCCTGGAGCACAGTGCCAGACCAGATCACCTGTCCATGGAACTGTTAGGACAGTGTAAATGTCTGCATGGCTCATTCCACTGGGGCTCAGCAACTCCTGTGAGACCGCCAACTCCTCCAGGCGGAAATAATCTTTAGTTTATCCCACAGGAGAAGCTTTTCCCACAGGAAAATCTGTCCAGGGAGGACCTGTACAAAGAGAAATGGAAGTAATAGCACATGGTTTATGCAGGAAGGTGATCCACTCACCAGGAAAGTTGATGAATGGAAAGAAACTAGGGATGCTGAGAAGAGAATCTGAGATCTTTTAAGGGCCTGAAGTTCTTGCTTCCGGATCCCAAGCACTTTCTCCATGAAGGTGTTCTCCCAGCCATACAGTTTGATTACTTTAATGTCACTGAGAATGGCATTGGTGAGTTTGGCCCGCTCATCTTTATGTTTCATCTGGGTCTCCTGTAATAAATGTTCGTGTTATATCGTTTAATAGGTTGATAGTTTAATGGTGCAGTTATTCTGAAAATATACCTTATTCCTGCATCTAAGTCCTGAATAAATTTCCCTGCAGTTGAGCTGTGTGTACTATTTCGCTTATGAATCTTCTAGGCTGGGAAATATTCTGCTTTTCATCTTCAGAGCTTTATTTTTACTGGCAGTACATAAAAAACACAGAAAAGGTGGGCAAACATGGTAAAAGATTGAACATGCAAGAGCTTAGTCTAAATTCTAAGAAGCTTTGCAGGCTTCAAATCCTTCTTATGTTCCTTCAGACAATCATGGTAAGCATGACTAATAAATATTAAGCCATCACATATGTCAGTAAACAATTTCTGTTTTTATGAAGCAAAATGTACCTGAAACTGACTCCTCTTCTTGGTGATCACGAAATTCAGAGGCAGAAGAAAAAGGAATACAGCAATTGCAGTCAAGGCAGATGGCCCTAGAAGCTGCCAGGTGAGAAAAGGAAAGAGAAAGAATTTCTGGTGATGACTAGAAATTACTGTTTTCTGTTCCCTTGCTTACCTTCCCTCTTACTTGAACTTGTGCATAACATCCCTCATGGTTAAGGCTTTGCTCTAATCTTGCCTTTGCCTTTCCTGGGAATTGTGCTTCCCTAAGCGCTGTGGATTGTTAACCATCCAGGCAGGGGAACTCCTGTCATCAGGCTCCGCTGAATTTATTTGCTTCCTTGTTAGGAACTAGATTAGTGCTGAAAGTGATCCAGCAGCACACTGGCAATTCCAGCCATTCCTGTTTCCTCCCGTGTCCTTGGATGCGTTAACGAGGACATCTTGTGGCTGGCTTAAGTAAGTGATCCGAAACAATACCAGGTTTTGGTTAAAAAACACCTTCCAGAAAGAAAAGTGAATGCACCATGCTACAGAGCTAAGAAAAATATGGCAACTTCAGGTTATTCCAACCAGGAAAGCTCTGAGTAGAATTTTGAAACCCCCTTTTTTCTTGGATATGTAGAATAGAAAGGGATTGATAAGTACTGTCATATTTTACCTGCCACAAGAAGACAAAGCAGATGATAATCCTAATAGGAGCAAGCCAGGTCCCATTAAAATAGATAATCAGATCCATTAGCTTTTGGACATCAACAGATACCAGATTAACAATTTCACCTATGGTTGCTGCTTTCCTTGAGGCATTTGACATAAGTAGGATCTAGATAGGGTAGAGAGGAAAGAAACATCATCAAACAACAGCTTTGGTCAAGAAGTCAAACAACTCTCTTTTCCTCATAAAGAAAGAAAACAAATAAAGGGAGGAAGATGATGTCAAATCCTAGGTATTGAAACCATGCTGCTGCATGTGACTTCACTTTAGGATGAAGCATTTACTGTTTTCCCTAACCATCATCTACAGCATAAGAAACTTTATGTTGAATTTTGCTCTTTCCTTTTCTTGGCTTTTTCTTCAGAGGTAAGATCTGAAAAGTAAATTATAAAGTACCTCCCATATACTGTTCAGAGATGAATATAGCACAGAGTGACATCCTGATATTGCTAGAAACATTGTACCAACAATGGTGTAACTACTAATGTAGGGCTAGGAAAGAAAAAAAAGGAAACTAAAAAGGAAGCTACAGACTCACCTTCCTGTACACAAGCCCTGTTACTGCAGTTTTCAGTCTCAACCCCAGAACAAGACACATGTACATGTAGCGTTGCTCAAACAGAGTCTGGAGACAAGCCAAAAGGAACATAGTGAAGGCATAGAAATAGCCAAGCCAGCTGGGGGCTTCTGGATCTTCAATGAACTTCAGGAAAAGGCTGCAAGACAGGGGCAAAATGTTGCTGAATTCACGAAGGACTGAGGAAATATCAGACACATAAAAACAAACTGGCAGAAATAGCAGTGATTTTTCTGTATTCTGTCTGAGAGGTTTATCAGTAAAATAGCAGAAGAACTGGAAAAAAACCCTGCTGAGTAACCTAGATCATATAATATCCTGATTTTTGACATGTAGCCACTCTTGGTTTTGTAACAACCTCTGATCTCAGCATCTTCTCAGGGGAGACCTCGCTTTCAGTGTTATGGATGGCTCCTGAATTTTATGAATTTGTCAGAAATATGCAAAGTGGTAGCTGTAATCTAAGGAAGTCATTGACATTTCCAGAACTTCTCTTAGTTGTAATGATTAAGAAGGGATTTTGCACTTGAAAATATACCATAGTGAAGGTTTATATTGTACCAATACAATCCACAAAGCATTATGCCAACTGACCAACAAAGCTTCTTAAGATGTGTAGGATGCACAGCTGTGCTCTTTGTAATTAGTCAGGGAACACAGAGCCTTCAGACTACAGCAAGGGGCTGACAGCCTTGTGCAAATGATGTGATACACAGAACCAACAAATAACTCCTGTTCTAGTAAAGTTGTCACATGGTTTAGTGCATCCTGTCCTTTCCACTGTTGGAAAGGAGCAGTGGAGACAGTGGTTTGGTGACTTCTCCTCCTGAGTTGACAGTGGGCTAAGCTCAAATGACAATTCAGTTCTTTTCATCAGCTACAAGAGATTTCAAAAGGCAAGTGTGTGTGTGCCCACCTCTGTGAGTGCTGACATACACACCTCTGAGCTCGTGAACACAGCAATCTTGTACATATTATAAATATGCACATACCTCAGTAACTTTGGGATGGAGAACATGAAGACATCACAGATAACTAAGCAGATAGTGCTGAGTAGGAAATAGGTTCCAAACATGCTCCAAAACATTTTCAGTAAGGGCCTGCTCTCACTGTGCTGTGATTGCAGGAGAGCCTCGGTCTCTTCAGCTTCTGCTGTGCCAGCTTCAGTCTTCTGACCCTTTTTAAATGTAGCAGGCTCCCTTTCTCTGAAGAAAGTAACAATGAGAAAGCTAGCTACAATTGTAGAAAGCTTGGGAATCTTGTGCTTCCAAAAAATCATTAAATATCTTACACCAGGTCTCATACCATGTTCAATATAAATGCTCATCAAAAAGTGACCCCTCTCACAAAAAAAAATTAGTTCTGTACTTCCAGGAATGGCAGGATGTTCTCCAGCAATTTTTAACACTTAAAATCAGATTTTGCACAAAGGAACTCACACACCAACACTTGTGAGTGTATTTGCTAGATCACCTAGACCTGCCCAGCTGAGTCCATGATGTGCTCTCTAGATCAAGTACTCACTGCTGGGTTCTGCTGTGACACTTCTTCCACTCTCTTTCTGCCCAGGCAACAATTTCTTCAGAGGAGTCCTCTCTCCTCACTGGCCACAAGTCATCCACCCCCAAGGACTGCTGAGAGCCTTTCCAGAGAAGCCTGGAGAACACACAGACTGCAGTCAGGTGAATGCAGAAGGTTTTGTGGTGCATGTAACACTTTCAAAACAGATGGACATTGAATTAGTGCACCACAGTGAGCACGTGGAGACTAACTTGCATTACAACACTACTCGGGACTGTCCTGTGCTGTCCTCTGTCAACATAATGAGGATTTGCAAGTAAGCCCTAATTTCTAGTCCATAATGAGAGTCTTGGGCAGTGGGACCGAAGTTTAGTGTAACTTACTCTGGGTTCAGTGAAACCAGATGAGACCTTATCATAGCAGACATTAGGCCCAAGGAATGTAATTGTTTTACTTCTGGGTGCTCAGCAGCAGACTGGGCCTATATTCTCTTCACTGTTTTCCCTTGCCCAGCATTTGTTACAGGAAGGTCTGGCAGGCAGATAGGGCTGTGGTTGATGTGCAGTGATCTTTTGGGACTGCTGAGATCTATTTCATGATTGGGAGGGCACTGGAAGGGTAGTTAGGAGGTAGAAGAGAATTATCTAGAATCACAAATTTACGTTTTGAATTATTTTGAGAAAAGTAAGTGAAATTTTTATAATTTGACCTTGTGACAATACCTCAAACCCCTGGAGAAAGAATTTAAATCCTCACTCCATAAGCTAACTCAGGGGCTGAGATATTTCCTGCTGGCTGCCTCTACACCGTCTCTTATGCTGCTGTTTTTTTTCTGATATTCTAGCAAAACCACATCTTCTGTGTTTTCTTACCCAGAGAACCACCAGTATGTGATTTTGGAAAGAAAAGAGCTTCTGGCTTCTGGACAGTGATTCTGATGGGAGAGAAAACGTGTGATATTTTTATACAGAAAAGTGCATGTGTCAGATGAATATAATTCCCTTCTGTGCTCCCCCAGGAAAAGCAATCAAAGAGTTACCCCCACCCCTCAATTCACTGACCCAGACAGAGCAAGTGTATTGTGGAGGATCAATGGGATTGGGAGATTTTGGAGAATTTGACTTCGAATAACTTCTCAGATAGAAGAAAAAAAGGAACATAATTCTTCATACCCAGAGACGTTTATTTTCTTAAGCACAGAAATTTTTCATACCCATACCACCAAGTGCTGCTGCACAGGAGAGCAACAACAGGGGAAGCAATAGGAGCCCTGTCTGCTGGTTTCAGTGACAAGAAACATGAGTATGGATAAAAGGTTTGTAGTTTTGAAAAACATACATAGAGAGATAGAGTACTGTTATCTCAAATTCTGCCAGTTACCTTTTAAAACCATCAGCCTTTATACAGAATGATGCATCTGACATCACCCAGATACTTGTGTTCCTGTGTATGCCCATAAATTTAAAATCCTGTTTCAGCAATGAAGCAGTGCATTAGGAAAAGCTATGTTATACTTACAGGATTGTTGACATCTTTAGAGAAGAAGGGAGGGTGATCAGCTAAGCAGAATAACACAAGTTCTCCTAGCACCAGGTTGCCATAAAGGAAAGCTGTAACATGGTGGAAATGGTCTTCCAGGAAGGCCTAAGAAACAGAATACTGGTGAGAATGAGGAAATGAACCATCATGTTAAATCAGCAGAGAAAGATGGCTTCTCATGTTCTACCAGCCATAAGCTCGGGGTTTTGGGTTGAAGCATGAGGTGCATTTATTTAAGCTGTAGTTGTGTAGAGCTAAATAGATAACTCCTGAAACTGGAAGCTCAGAAAATGCTAAATAAGACACATTTATTATTCATAATGACAGTTTTATTGTAAGGATTCATAGTACTCTAGTCAAGTCAGATGTCCACATTCCATCGCTTTTCAGGGAACTTTGAATGCTCTGAGAGATAGAAGCTCCTTGCTCACCCAGTGGGGTGAGTTGTTGATATAATAAAGCACTTGCTAAGTTTTACTATAAATGTTGTGTCTAAGGGGCTCCATGAAGAGCTCTTTAATTCATTTTGTGAATGAGAAAGAGAAAAAAACAATGGAAAAGTCTAATTATTTTTGGAACAGTGTATTGGTAGCAAGAAGTTGCCAAGTGTTACATCAACAAGCAGCCTTGTGCCTTCAACACAGCAGGAACAAGCAAGGTCCCAGCTGTATTTTGCTTCATGGCTGCATATTTTTCCCCTATTACTTAAAACACACAGGTAACAAACTTTTGTTTATTCCTTATTGTGACTGCAAAGAAGCCTGTTCATCTGAGGAAAATGGCCACTAACAATAAGTCTCAGATGTGCCAGCAAGCACTCTGCTGCAAATAAACATCCAAATGAACAAATATATAGTGTCAGCAATCATTTTTCTCAGCACATATTTTAAGAGAGGAATTTTGTTCTCCCCCTTGCAACAATGAGACAAAAACAGCTCTGCTGTTTAGAGACTTCATACCCTTGCACATTGAAAATATGTGATTTCACTTACTCTTTCCAGGGCATGTTGAATTTTGAAACTAAACATCACAACGGCAGCCACGAACGAGAGCAGCCAATAAATCAATAGGACCCCTGAAGACTGGATGCCCATCATTCTTTCTGCCTGGGTAAGGAACATGGCAAGGATCTGTGAGGAGGTACAAATTTGTCCACATAAATACCTGGTAATGGAATGCCAAACATTGTTATCAAATTAATGAGTACCACAGAAAAAAGATCAGTTTCTTGTCCAAACACTTCAAGATGTTCAGAGCTGTAGTAGCTGTAGTATTGTTCCTAAAAGGCTAAAACTGAACAGCATTATGTGCAATTTTGCACTCAAGAATGTCTCTGGAGAAAGGGCAAATAATAAAACTACAAGTGGGCCAACAGGCAAGGTCTGCTCTGCCCACAGGGCCCTGTGTTGTAGGTGTAGCTCCAGTGGTCTGCCCCGACTCCAAAGCCATGGCTTGTGGGCCTTCTATTCCCCATCAGCCAAATTTGTGCTCAGAGATACTGAGAAACGTGGGAAATACAAGATCTGTCCCCAGAGGGCTAAGCTTGGCCACGTGCAGACAGACAAGGGAGGAATTACCATTGTGATTCCCATCACAGCAGGGCTGATGAAGAACTCTGGAGCCCGTGGGATTCCTTGGCTTATCTCCCACAGCATGAAGAAAACATTAGTAAAACACAGTATCACCAGAATGAATCCAAGGACCATTTTGGTTTTGAAGATGCGGGACATCCTGATATAGCCCCTGTTCCTGCGTCGAAGGTACAGGTAGTAGAAAGGAAAACAGATCCAAAGATAGGCACAAGGGATCCAGGTGATGACTGAGCTCTCAAAGCACCAGGTAAATCCTGAGGTGTTGGTATGCCATGTCTGATTCCAGTCCTGTCACAGAAATAACACAGAAGTGAAACAGTAAAGCAGATGTACACAGAATTTCACACCTAATGCAGGTTCCTAATGCTACAGCTGAGATCTACTATGTTAGTGGAAGTTGATTTAGGGTTTCAATTGTAAAAAACATTTGGCAACAGAGACGAACTCAGCTATAGCAGTTTGGAGGGAATTGAAGTAGAAAGGCAGGACAAAGAAAAGATTGCAAAAGTGAAAGATGCCGAAGAAAGGACATGTATCACAACTAGAGAGAAAAGAAAAGAAAGGTAAGTTAATGAAAATGGAATAAGAAAAGGTAATTTGGGAATTAAACAGATGATCAGCATTTGGGAACCATCATAGCAAACAACAGGAAATGACCAGTGAAATGGAGATTAGGAGGAAAAAAGTGTCCTAGTGCATGAACTGCATTTCCTCAGCTGTTTGTACTAACCTTTTGTGACTTTTTGACTGAACAAATATTGGATCTCATCTGGCAACTGTACATAAACGGGCAAGGTTATGTTTTCCTTCAGCTTGCAGAGCGAGGCTGAGGAATGACCATGATGAAAAGAGGAAATAGATAATGGCTTACAAATTATTATGGGAGTTTATCAATTTTGGGGATGGAAATCTGTGAGAGCCCGGACTGATAAAAATTAGAGCCCTTTTAAAGGTATTTCTGTGGTGGGTCCTTCAGCGGAAACTTCCCCAAGACAAGACTCATTCCAACATCCTTCCAGCAGCGCAGTACATGCAACTCTATCAAATTCACTGTAACTGAGAACAACTCGGGCTGTTCTGTTTGGGTGAAAACTTGTTCCTGGGAAGCAAAGCCCGCACCCACGGGAACACACTTCACCGCTCACACTTCACACCCCCACAGCGGGGTCCGGGGCTCCCCCGGGGAGCCGCACTCCGGACCGGACGCGGTCACTCGGTCACTCACCCGGGGCCCGGCGGGGCCCTCCCCGGGCCCGCACAGCGCATCGCCCGCACCCATCGGCCCGGCCCGGCCCCTCCGCCCGCTGCCCCGCGGGACGGGACGGGACGGGGACGGGACGGGGACGGGACGGGACGGGACGGGCGTTTCCTCCTCGCCGCGCAGCGCCCAGAGCCCCGTTCCCGGTGTGTGAGCGGTGCCGGGAGCCCCGGAGCGCCCGGTCCGTCCCGGCTGCGGGCAAAGTCCGGCCGGGGGCAGGTCCGGGGCTGTGCAGCCCGGCAGCGACCGCACCAGCGAGGCGGAGCCCCCGGGGCTGCCGGGGGTGGGAGCTCTGTAAGCACACAGGGTCTGGTTTGGAGAAGAGACGTTGTTTATTCTGCGCAGGGTGGAGGTTCCCGCAAATCAAGCGCGCCAAGCGGTAAAAATAGAATTGCGTCTTTTATACGGTAAAATTTACATTACACGAACCCGCCTAATAAATATTCTCCGCCTACACAATGCATATTTATTCGTGTGACGTAATCTCGCGCAATGCTTGAAACGCGAAGTTCTTTATTAAGCATCTTCTGTTTCAGCACTTATCTGACTTTAGCTGTGTTCACAAAACGTGAGAAAATTCAGCTCGAAGACACCAATTCCTTTCGCAGAAGTTACCTGACGACATCAGTTACGTTTACAAAACATGCGAAGATTCAGCCTGGGGCACAGATAATCCATCCTGACGCCATCCCCGGCAGTGGGATGGGGCTGGGGGATGTCCAGCGGGACATCCCTGGGGAGCGGCCCCGGGAGCCGCCGCAGCCCTCCGGGCCGGCAGGGGGCGCCCCCGCGGGAACGGCCCTTCCGGCCGCGCGGCGGCGGCGCTGACTCAGGGCGGCGGGGCCGGGAGGGGCCGGCGGCGGGGCCGGGGCTGGCGGTGCCCGTGAGGCGCCGGCGGAGCTTCGGGGCCATGCGGGGCCGGGCCGCGGCCGCGCTGCTCTGCGCGCTGTGCTGCGCCCTGGCGCGGGGCTCCGAGGACATCGTCGTGGGCTGCGGCGGCTTCGTCAAGTCCGACGTGGAGATCAACTACTCGCTGATCGAGGTGGGCGCTGCCGCCGGGCCCCCCCGAGCGCTCCCGCCCGGGCCGCGGGCACGGTGCCGCTGCTGCGGGCTGGGGCCGGTGGGACTGCGGGTCTCATTCCCTCGGGCCCAGGCTCGCCGTGAACCTCGTCCTGCTGCCCCCGGGCACGGCGGGCGCTGCTCTGTGAGAGCACCTGGTTAGACAGTGCTTGGTTCCAGCCTTCCTAGCCTTGTTTTAAAGCACCCTTGTTGTGTTTGCTTCTTTTAGATTAAGTTATATACAAAACACGGTACTCTGAAATACCAGACAGACTGTGCTCCGAACAACGGGTATTTCATGATTCCCCTCTATGACAAGGTAAGACGCTGCACCACCTGCGCTGTCCCCTCTGTGCTGCCCCCGCCTCCCCACCTACCGCCGGGGCAAACCTCAGAACAACACCCTTCCCGTGAAACCTTCGAATCAGGACATGGTTTAGTGTGGTTTGGACCAAACTTTCAGCTGTTTCTTTCTGTAAGGCAGCTACTTTATTTCTCAGTGCTAGTTGTGCTGAGAAAAGCCTGGTAGCTGTAGCTGTGGTGTTGCATTTGTGCTGTTTATTGGAATGACTGCAGCACTGGGAGCCGTAGTTACTGCCAACAGCTGTGTGCTGCAGCTGTACAAACAGTACAGGTTACTACAGAGTACAGCTAAAGCTTTCTGTTTTCTGCCTATAGAAATGGAAAGAGATGTGTATGAGAAGGTGTTTTGATACGACTGAATTGAAAATAACTTGAATTACTAACTGCAGGTATTAGAAGTGTCTTAAGGAAATAATGGTACAGGAAGCTCAGAATGAATCAGAAGTCTAATGTCTATTAGACTGGAAAGATGTTTACATTCAAATTAATTACAAGCTGCCCTCAGATGGTCGAAGTGGTTTGCTCTTTTAAAGAGCTGGTTAACGTAGGGATCAGAAGTAGAATCATAGAATGGTTTGGTTTGGAAGGGATCTTTAAGGATCATCTAGCTCAACCTCCAAATAATTCCTTCCCTTCCCAATCTAAGAATGTAAGATGCTTTCTGATCTCAGTGGTTTCATTCTTAGGCCTTTGAACCTTTCCATTCTGAACTTCAGAATATATGTGGCAGAACACGTTTGGTGGCCACTATAAAGAGGATCCCTGTGCAGATTAATAGCCTTTTGGAGCAGAGCTTTTAATAGGATTGAAGTTTTGTTGTCTCATGTTTGGGCAGAATGGTTGAGTTGGATCTCCTAGTGGAAATACTAAAGGCTAATTTAGAACCCATCTGTTGGGGCAGGTAGAGGTAGGTTTGAACACTTTCTAGCACTGAGCTGCTTGAATGTGAGCCAGGTTTGTTCTTGAAGTGGTATAAACACAGTGATACTTAATTTTTGCTCTTAGCTGGCTGGATGTGAGCCCAGCATCCCGGCCTGTCTGGGTGGATTTTGCTGCTTCTTTGAACAGAGTATCTGAAGTAAGAGGGAAGGAGAATGGTACACTTGAGTTTTGTGTTCCTCTCTACAGCTTGATGCTTGTGTTATGACTTTTTTTTCATAATTTAGCTAAATTGAATTTAGATCAATGAAGACAGTTATTGCTTTTTATTTTTTAGGGGGATTTCATTCTTAAAATTGAGCCTCCCCTAGGGTGGAGTTTCGGTAAGTGCTTATTTGTCTTCTTGCAATAGGACAGTGTATCTGCAACGGGGGACTTATCTCTGACTTGCAGTTGGCAGAGAAAATCAAGCACTTTTCAGAACAGATGAGCCATACTGTGTGGTTTCAATAACTGAAATGCACTTACTGTACCGGGGAAAACAGAGCTGTATGGTAGACACTGGCAAAGTAACCCTTGAACTGATTTGAAGGAATGTGTGTTTTTGACAGAAATGGCTGGAGCGGGAGGGGGGAAAGAGGATTTTCAGTCTCAGGATTTGGAGATGTTTAAACTTTGCTGGGGTAAGACTCCCAGAGCAACACTTGCATGCTTGGACTAATACATTTCTGTGTAAATGTATTGTAAAGCTAAAGCAGAATTTCTTCATGATTGCTTTCTCACTAACTACCATGCTGTTTCATTGTTTTTCTGTTCCAGAACCAACCAGTGTAGACATCCATGTGGATGGCATTAATGACATTTGCACAAAGGGAGGTGATATTAACTTCGTGTTCACAGGGTTTTCTGTGAATGGAAAGGTTAGACTCCATTATCTTTATTTATTCCATCTTGCACTAATTCAGCTTTCGTAAAAAACATTCTGCTTCAGCTCTACAAGGTATTTTTTTCCATTTATACTCTTGTTTCTTTTTATTTTGACAGGTTCTCAGCAAAGGTCAGACATTAGGTCCTGCTGGAGTTCAGGTTGCACTGAGAAATGCTGGCAGTGACATAAACATACAAGCAACTATTACACAACCTGGAGGAAAGTGAGTGTGGGTGGTGCATACTTAATTAATCTGTTCATTTACACAAGATTCTTTCAATTCTGCCACAAGTGGGATTGTAATAGTTCTGAAATACTTTTTCTAATATGTGTCTGAATTGTTTTTCTGTAAACAAACATTTGTGACTGTTTCTGAAGAGACATAACCCCTTTCTTGCCTTGCAGGTTTGCTTTCTTTAAAGTGCTTCCTGGCGAATATGAAATCTTTGCATCGCATCCCACCTGGATGTTGAAAGAGGTTAGAGCCTACAAAAGTTCTGGTTTGCCTGTTTAGGGAGGGTGGATCTGCTTGTCCTGATCAATTACTGTGAGGAAGGGTTTTTGTGAGTGGACAAGGTCAATGGAGTTTTCATACATTTAATTCAGGTAGTCAAGAAACTGCCCTGTGCAGACCCAGGTTGGAGGTAGTGAAGCCAGCCGGGGTGGGACTGGGAAATGAGTTCTTGCTTTCTGTCTTCTGATCCTGTACGTTTTGCAAGAGCTTGAATATTGTAGCAGACGCTCTAATCCTTTCCTCTCAGACTGCTTACTTCCTGAGGAGCTCTGAGATCCTGACCATTTCCTGAATCAGTAAAGCGGGAAAAATACCATTTTGCGAAGTGTCTTTGCTTTACTGTCTTTGTGTTTTGAGTAGCCTGTGGACACTCTTTGAGTACTGCTACCCTGGGCTCTGTTTCTGTTGTTGAATACACAGGGTCTGATTGTTATTTAGGTGCTGTGAGATCTAATGCCTGTATGTTTCTGTTTTTCAGGCAAAGACAGTGGTCCGGGTGACGAGTTCCAATGCTTATGCTGCCAGCCCCCTGATTGTCGCAGGCTACAATGTGTCTGGGGCTGTGAGGAGCGATGGAGAACCCATGAAAGGGGTCATGTTTCTGCTTTTCTCTTCTTCGGTCACTAAGGAGGTAATGGTCTGTCAGTACCTTTTAATATGGACACAGATAAGAAGCAGCTAAATAGCTTCTAGATTCATATTGCCCTGATACTCATCTCTGTCCTTCACTGAGCTCGGCTTATAGAAAACATAAACTGTACAGCCCCTCAAGCTGTATTTTTGTGTTTGGGTTTTTTTGCATGTTTTTTATCTTTTCCCCCAACAAGACCCTTTTAGTACAATATTTGTATACATGCCAAGTTTCTTCTGACCTCCATGGAACTACTCAGATGTGTAACACAATAACCATCTTTTAAATGTTGGCAAAATTGAGGCTTAAGGTGTACATGTTTTTTTGGACACAAGAAATTAGAAGATTCTTTTAATGTCGACTCTTTTGACCTCTTTATTATTGTTTTCACACAGCTGGATTCCTCAACAAGCAGGCTGTTCAGGGGCATAGAACACTAAGACCTGAACTGAAGCAGGCAACAAGTGCAAAATATAGTATGTCCCACAGCATGTTATCAATATGTATATTCCCTGTGGGTCAGCAAGGTTCAGGGTTACAGTTTTAAGATATTATTTTTCCAATATTACACCTTTTTGCACATTAAATATTGGTTAGTAAACGTGTTCCCTCATGAGAATGATACTTCTCCATGGTAGAAGACCAGCATCCTGCA